GACCAGACGAAACAAGAATGAAATGTATTCCTAAATCTAAACTTTTCACTATTAAGTCACCAATCATTCAGACACATTGTAAAGGTGATATACTTTATTTCACATAAAGTAAACCACATCTATCCATTGGACACAGTGAAATGATGCAAATGATTCAATCAAATGTAAACTCATTATTACTATGGCTTTTATTAACATTTTAATCAATGTCAACCAAAAATATACTATATAGAAAGGTATATATACAATGAGATCCAGAAAGATAGGCAATTTCACCTAGGAAAAAATCAATGTAATTATCTAAAGAAGTTTATTTAAACTATGTGAATCTTATTTTCAGTGCAACAAATAATGTAATGACAAAGAGCACCAGACAATCTTCCAATTACTCTACCAACTGAAATGTTACAAGTTTTACACAATTAACTTTTTTTGCAGTTAAAGAGAAAAATAGGCTGAATTCTCTGAGAAATTTGATCACCAACTTTCTTTTAATACTTGAGCCTCTCAAAAGTAAGAATTTATCATTTTTCAGTTTTTTTGTTTGATACCATGTGCATCACCTCACATAAAAGAGAGTGAACATATATGTAAAATTTATCATCGCGCCATGTAAAACTACAAAAAAATGTTATGTGATTCTGATATCACCCTTGTGAAACTGCCCAGACGAAACAAAGACTTACTTACAGGTACAATATACAATGTTGGAATATATGTTTAAAAAACTTCAACAAAAAAAGTAAACTTGATTTCTGTACATTTCAACTTTGGTAGTGCCACTTCTAGTACAGTTAACATACACATACCGGTACTACATCTCTTCTACTCTGATTTCTTTTGACATACAAAATGCATTATTTTTAAAAAGACACATTTGGGTAAGGATGAATGTGGTTATTGTACACGAATCTATCTTTGATAAATGCTTAGTAAAGAATTCAAAGATAGTAAAGGCACAAATAAATATTTTTGACAAATTATTTTAATTATAATTATTATTACATGTATTATTATTTTTGTTTTTCTTTGGGGGGGGGGGGGGGGGGGGGGTGTTAAAAGAGAAAGATGCCTCCAGTTTATTATCATTTTTTAAATTTTTTATTGTGTCATATATACAGTTTGTATGGGTGGGGGGGAACAAAAGTACGTACAATTGCCATTCTTCATGATAACTAAGTCACTCATCATTTATTCTTAATTGTAATCTTGATCACCTCAAAGAAAGATATACAATTATTAAAAGCTGGACTTAAATTAAAAAACAAACTACTAAACTTTTTATACACTTACATTCATTAAAAAAAATGCAATGAATGCACAAATCTCAACATCATAATGAATGGTATATCTAATGAAAAAATTATCTTATTTTTGTAAAGTCTATAAAACACCTAAATTAAAAGTCTGGAATGTTCTACAATAATGCAGTGTGCTTTATATGTCATGAATGAAGACACACATTGTATTTTCTACCTCTGAACTACAATCGGCAAAATGGATTGCCAGTGGTTTCTAAAACACACATCTAACAATGAATAGTCCAACGTCATTCATTTATAAAAAAGTGTACGTAACATTCTCTTCCATTTCTACTAATAACTTGTGTTGGAAATAAGTATGTTATGTTGTATCTTAGATTTTTTTTAATGTATTGGATATACCGGTACACGTATAACAATGTTAAAAAAAACACACGACAATGATCATTCATTTTCTCATTTGAATACAAAGACATTAAAGAGATGTATACAATTTTCAAGGTGAGTTGATTATCTTGGCAAGAAAAGTTTAAAATGAGTAATGTACACTTTGAAAATTTGCCAAAAATATCAGCAACAGAAGAATACAAAAACAGTGAAGAGTACTGGGTACAATCAATGACATATTTCATTAATGTGGCAAGGAACATGGTATAGTGAATGGATATCATGGAAGCTGATTGTATTTCTTTCACAAAAGCAGCAATTATAGAGCATCTTTTGGCTAATTAACATCGATTCTTCAATCTTGCAAACATTATTAGAGCTAATATAAAGTACTGTATATTACAAAGCAGATATTGTTGGCAAGTACGCTTTCATTTACACTGTCGCTCATATAGTTGGAATATTTTTGTTTTACCCCAATTTGTGGAATTATTTTTTAAAATAATTTAAAAATAATAATAATAATAATAGTGGGTTCTTGTATAGCGCTCATGTCAGTCAGATTTGACCATCCTGGCGCTCCCGATTATCACCCTGGCTTTAGCACGGCTGCCATACGGCGCTATAGCATTTCAAGGAATTGATTATAGCACTAATATAGCACATCGACACGGTTTTGATCCTGGGGCCTCACAGTTACAAGGCCATTGCTTTCTCACTGAACCATGACTGTATGCAGCGGGGGCTAGGGTAGGGGGCAGTTTCCATAAATATTTTTAAAAAAAAAATGCAATACATTTTTCATAATTTATTGCATTTTACCCCCTTCCCCAACAAACAAATCCTCTGTGTGCCCATGCCTTGAGCCATAATGCATGGCCGGGGTAAAATGCAATAAATTATTCCTTCCCCAACATAAACAAATCCTCTGTGTGCCCATGCCTTGAGCCATAATGCATGGCCGGGGTAAAATGCAATGAATTATGGAAAATTTATTGCATTTTCTGTGTTTTTATTTATTTATGGAAACTGCCCCCTACCCTAGCCCCCGCTGCATACAGTCATGGTTCAGTGACAAAGCAATGGCCTCGTAACTGTGAGGCCCCACGATCAAAACCGTGTCGATGTGCTATATTAGTGTCCTTTTGTGGGGCATTAATCCTCATTACTGTATTTATGATTTTTTTTCTTCTGAATTTGGTTTATGTGAAATGTTTGAAATAAAGTTTATTGTAATCACGTTAAATTTCATTGAAATTTGTTATCACTTTACAACCACTGATGAGAAAAAAAATTGATGACCTTTACATAAGATCTTACAACTTTTCTTTCAAATAAGACTTAGAACTCCGTCATAAGTCATAAACAAAGAGTCTGAATTCTTCCATATTTGTTATAAATTTCTGAAAATACATCGTAGTCAAATTACTAAATCACTAAAATAATATTGACATAAAACCCTGTATTGTATTACTTTAAAAAGTTTTCAGAGTTCAGGATGTTCTTATAATGAATTAAATCTTATTCAAACAATCCATAAATGTTCCACTCACAGCAACATATGCATTAATCAATGTCTAGTTACTTTCAGATGTCACCAGTACATCTTAACCACTCATCATGTGTATGAGGTTATTAAAATGAAAGCTACAGTATTAAATCAAATTTTAATCCTCAACAGTCTTGAAATTCATTACATATACAAACAAAAAATCAGCTATATACATCATGATTAAGGCACTTCTCAAATGATATATCACTTCTGTACATCATCCCTAAAAGAGGGAGGTAAACAAAAAGCAGACATCTTTATTTACAAATCATACAAAATAGATGCAACCTTTTCACTACAAGTCATCTCAACTTTTAGAGTATGGCTACTAGTTTTCTAGTACTTGCCACATCTACAAGTATATTACACAAAATATCCCTCCCAGGGGACACTCTAAGCACCTAAAAAGTACTACTAATACCCTTGCTTTAGCAAGCTGCCTAAATGCACTGAAAGCATTCAAGAAATGGTGTCCAATCAGGTAACCATTAACTAATGTCTTGCTAAAGGATATTTGGGCAGTGGCTAGGAATCAAACCATGAACTATTTGATCCACAGACTGGTCAAATCTATTACACCGTGACACCTCGGTCCCATTTCTACTACATTTATTCAACCTGTGATTTCTCTATTCAAGGGACTGTACAATTAACAAGAGCTGAATTACTACAATGAATACTAATGACTTGTACTGACCTACAGATACAGCATCACACACAGGTTATCACAAAGTGATTTCTTTCAACAAGTTTAAGGAATGCAATTATTATTTTCTGAAGCTCAAAGCAAAGAAATCTATAGAATGTCAACATGTATAACAATGTACGGTAATATTCTGTTCCTGAGACCATCTTACAGACAATAACACTCAAGATAATCACGAGTTCTGGAAACGAAGCTGCATTGCCAGGAAAAAATATCCAGAAGTCACTCCTGAAGTTTTCATCTGAACTTTGTTTGGATCAACAAAATTTAAAGAAAATTTTGAAAATTGGATGAAAAATTGCAAAACATAGCTGACAAAATTAATATTGTACCCCCCCCCCCCCCCAAAAAAAATACTTAGAGTAGTAATTTCCCTTCTTCTGTGACCGTATTGACCATCAAGTGATTGCCTACCGGAGTTAATCAATGTAACTTCTTAATATCAAAGTCATATATGGGCCATATGATTTCGATGATCTACCACCAAACACCAAATTATGTTTTCACATTTTGCATATTAGTTTTATCAAGTGCTTAAAGGTAATACAAAGTTTTGGGAAATTTTGAAAATTGGGTGGATAGTGAATCTTTACAATTTTGATATATTTGGATGCCCCTGTGGATGCATTATAAGCACTAAAAAAATTAGCCCCTAAAACACTTCTGTTTTCGAGAAAAATTGAATATAAAAATTTACCAGTGCTCCCGGTAAATTTCGATAAATTTCAAATAGCGCCTATGGCCGTACAATGGTAGCTGCGACCATGAAAATCTCAGAATATGTAGTTGGGATATATATTTTCCAAACAGGAATAGCTAATCGGTCAATTTTAGTCAAGAAACATAGTTTCATAGCTAATTTCATATCTTGACCTTGAGAGGGAGCTATACAACATTAAGAGTTTATTATTTATAATTTCATAACTTTAGACTCGATTTCAACCGCGACAACGATCAATGTATATTGTAGGAACACATATGCTTCCAATATGTTAATTTGAACCAAATTCATGACCCCATACCAAAACTTTGTAATACCTTTAATCAAATTCATCAAATTTTAAACACATATTGTAATGGAGTCTCCACTGGAGTTTTTGTTTTTAATTGTTGTTATCATTCATTACCAGAACTCAAGATTACCTTAAACATCTTCAACAACACAAAACATCTCCCTTTCAAGCATAACTGATGCTTGTGTCCACTTCTAGATCCACACTGATGGGTCCGTTGCCAGGGTCACCACCTTGATCCCGCCTCCTGGCCGAGTAGCTGGCCTGAAGCATCGATGGTAGGGTGCGGACAGGATTGACAAAGTTATCGTTGTTTGCCACCTGGGAGAGAACGTCCAAGTCTTCAAGCTGGCAGGCATCAGTCACCCGGAATTCACCGTCCAGGTCGGAATCTTCCTTGAACCATCGGAATGATCTCCTGAGAAAGTGAGAGATATTACTCAAATAAATATCCAATTCACATGATTGTCAGAAAAACTTGATGTTTATCAGCCCACATTCTCAACAAAATCTCAGTATTTAAAGACTACTATCAAAATATGCATCCATTCAGCTGCAATAGATTTGAATAACTGACAGTTTCATATTCCCAATATTCCACTCTTTAAACTTTCAAATATGCATGCAGGAACTTTCAAAACAGACTACCCGGTACTCTTTCTTTTTTTGTTTATTTAAATATTTATCTTTGCATTTTAAATGATATGCTAGACCATACATAATATAAACTCATTTTTGTAATGGATTAATAAGATTAAAATGTCAAAATATGACCGCTGTTGAAAACATTCACCTTCAATGACCCCTTTTCTACAAAAGCTCTTTGATATACCTCCATTTTAGATACTTATATTCACGTTTTGATTAATCAGTAATTATGTCATACCTGGTACATGTACAAAGAAAAAGAAATCACATAAAATGGAGCTTTAACAAAGATTCCAAATTGACTTACATCATGAAATTGTTGCCATTTCTTCTTTTAAAGTAGGTGAAAATTGCAAGAGCAAAGATGACAATTATGATCGCTGACAATGTGACTCCAACAATCACAGCTGGGGCTGGTCAAATGAGGAAATGAAGAGGAAGAGATTGCATTACGACAGGAAATTTGATTAAATATTGAGATAAGACATGGAAACAGTCAACAGTTACATGCAGATTTGAACATATCTGCATAGTATATCAAAGAAAAAGAATCATGTATTTAGTGTTCTTCAGTTATAATCTTAAAATGGGCTTTCCATGATTCAAATACATGTACATTAACATGCTATTAAATAATTTGATGTCATTTGTGTCAATTGATTTAAAAAAATTATTGGTACTTATGTATATAAACAAATGTAACCAAAAAAGTATGTTTGTAAGATTACAACAAATATCTTTTTAAAGAAATCCTTTTATCAAATTCTTTCATAAATTGATATAATTCTAATAACACTTTGAACTGATTTGGGTTGCTTCATTTTAGAATGTTTAATAGTGACGTTGAACTACCACAAAACTGTTATAAGAAACGTCAGTTTGTAGGATTACAGAAACACTTGATAGCTAGGCATACCCGGGTGTTGAAGAATAGCCAAGTTATCGCCTTTAGCTGTGCAGTCCACGATACAATCCCTATCAATACTGTAGCTCACACCATAGATCTCCAAGCTTTCAGTCTTCTTCACAAATCTGGTATAAGCCTCAATGAGATCTGATGCCTGGCCAGTATTCAAAGCTGACAGATTGGCTTGGTATATGACACTTCCATTCAGAAATTTCTCGTCTGGATTGAATCAAAGTACAAAACATGCATCTGAGTACAATATGACAATCTGGCATTAGTTGTGAAGCCTAATGGTTCTACTTTATTGGTAGCTGTAAGAATATGTGTGAACTTATATTTTCATGAAAGTTTTCAGGGTTATATTTTTTCTAAATAGTAGAATATGCAAGATTCTCCACACAATTTTTTTTTCCTTTTGCTCATTTGCTTCAGATATTACCATCCGATGTATCTTAAATTTTTTAATTAAGGGCAATTTGTTATTTTATTCAAACATACATGGTTTCACTTTTAAACTATGTAACAAAACATTGTCTTAAATCATATATCAACTCCGCAACATCTCAATCCATGCATTATTTATTTATTATTTCCTTCCACAGAACTTGAGAATCCATTTCCTAAATCAATAGTTTCTGTTTTAATGAGTTATTTCCTCTTCCTGACAGAAAGTAGATACTCCTTTGTTGAAATCACTGTTATGAAACCAATATATATTAAAAAAAAAAATCATATTCCACTTAGTATCTTGCTATGCCATTTCAAGATTATCACAAAAGACCAACTTAACCTACCTTTCAAGTAATTGGAATTGAATCTGCACTTGCATTCTTCTTTCACACCATTGACCACCGCATCCCTCAATGAAGCCTTCCACTGTGGCCTACTCTGCCACTGATCAAAGACTGCATCTTCTAGTCGGAGCTGTATAGTCTGTCCATACCGGGGCTTGGGGCAAGCATTGTTTCTACCCGGGGTGGGGCTGGACAGCATGAAGGCATCATTGGTTCTTAACTCACAGCAGGAGCATCGCGAGATTGTTTCGTCTCCAGGGAGGTAGCTGAGAGGAGATACAGAATGTAGAATAATATGAAGTCTGACGTCAGGCACTTGGATAACCAAGCTAATATTTAAACTTGTTGAAAGTTTGCAATCAAAATATTTTCTTATTATCCATGTTTTATTTTAAACATTTTTCACAGTGTAGGTTGAAGAAGAAAAAAAATATGAATACAGTACAAAGCTAATGCCACAATAAACTGGATTGTTTGAACATCTGTATTTCTTTCTAGCCAATTTATTGTGTGTGTGTGTGTGTAAAAGAGACCTGAAGTTTCACATTGAGGGTAACCAATCCGACATCTATATCTCACCTTGATTCATCCTCTATCACTTTCCCATCTGATGTCAGCTCACTCAGTGCTTTGCTCACAGGCGTATTCTGTCCTCTGTAGACCAAAGTATCCACTATCCTGGCCATTGGAACCACAGACCCCACTCTGAAGTCCTGAGACTGACCCCTGCAGAGTGTTACAGCGCCCCCTAGTGCCTTCAAAACCCCATCAGGAACAGAAGGCAGTGTAACCTTTGGTAATGGTACCAGACTGCCTGTTCCAATCACCATGTAACCATTTTGATCAAATGTCTGTCCGGACAAGTCGACCACGTACGACACTTTGGCAGAATCATCATCCTCTACGGCAACCACCACTGCGTATCCGTCAAGCGCAGCATTCGCTGATCCCTTTAGTTCTATAAATTCTTTTCCACCAGTCACTGTATCGAACGGGTTAATCTCATTGATGACCACTGACTCAGGACTGGGAGTAACGGGAGAATGTTCTGAGCAGTGGTTTGGTTGCCTAGGTGATGGGTGTGACAATTTGTATGCAGATGAGAGCAGAGGTTGGCAGCACTCACAATGGCTTATGCTCTCAGCTCCCTGGTAGAAGCTGGCATTGACTGTAACTTGAGCTTGGTCTGAATGAGATAAACATTAAAGGCAGGTCTAGACATTAAAAAAATGTGCTAGCACATCTATAAGTTCTGAAGCAAGAATAACTACAGAGAAAGTAGAGCTTTGAAATGCAAGCCTGGATTGAAGTGGTTGATATATATCATAAGGTTCACACAAATGTATCTACATCAGCTTCTCAACTCCTCTATAGAAAGAAATCAGTTGTAATGATCATGTTTATCAATTGTATTCACCAATCAACAACAAAAATCACCAATACAAACAATAACAAAGAATTAAAATTTATTTACTCTGTATCAAAATTTCATAACACTTCTTTAAAATAGACTTTGAGTGTTAGCTTTATATTAAAAGAAATCTGAACATGATCATGTATTACCTGGTAGGAGTTGCCTCAGCAGTGTCATGCTCTGCCTATTCATGTCCCCATACACTACAGCATCAAGAAGCCCTTGTGATGTGGCAGGCATCCCTGCCTTGTAGTCATGGTGATCTCCTCTATAGAGGGCGATAGCATTGGCTCCATTCCGCAAGAAGCTCTGGCCCAGATCACCAACGAGAATGTCACCGTATGAAGAGAGTGGAGATGTGGCTATCAGAAAGTATCCAATCCTGTGGACAAAAACAAGTGATAAATCAAGAATGGCAAGTGGCCGAATACATAAAACAAGTAAGAGACCAACATTTGATTTTCAAGTACACGTACAAGGATAGAAAAAGCTTTTGTTTGTTCATGCATTAGGCTTATAATGTTTCAACATCTTTAGTAGATAGTAATCCGTGATACATAATCTTTAAAAAAGTTAACTCTGCCTATTGTATAAAAAATATGCAATCCTGCCTCAATTGTCCTTCAAGATAAGACAAATAAATGATGTCAAACCCAGTTCCAGAATATTATTACTGTAGAAGTCACAGATTAAGAAATTATAAATCCTATTTTATTGCTATTACATAGGTCAGTAAAAGATCCTACTACGAAGCACAAATATTACAACAAATAGGACCAATGATGAAGAAGAAATCACTACTTTCTCACTTATTTCCATTGTAAAAATAATGTTCACACCCAGTATAGATGCATTTTACAGCATTACTAAATTTAGCACTATAAGATAACAAAATGAAGATTCAATTGACATCACTGCTTAAATCTCTAGTGCTTTTCGTCTACACTTTTGTAATTGAGGAAAACATATTGTATACTCACTCATCAGTCCTCTGTCCTTGTAAGGGTATGGTCTTGTATGCCCTCCCTCCATTGATCCCTGTGAAGAGCACCAGCACCAGGGAATCCAGGGGTGTTGACCCTCGACCTCCATCGTAAAGTTCAATGAACTCTTGTGAACCACCATCATGGTTTTCGAGGTTAACTTCATTGATAACAACAACAGGTGTAGTGCAATTGTTGTTTTGCTCTGCATAAACAAAATGGAAAGTTAGAGAAACTTTTAGCTAGGTTTCTAATCGCATTTGCAAAGATATAAAGATTCCTTCCTCAAAATAGTAACTGTAAATATTGATTTTTTCAACAGTAAGTCTTGTACAAGAACTGAATGAATCAGTTTGTTTTTATGTTCCTCTTTGTTTACTTGCGCCTTATTTGAATTGAAAGATAAATATATAATTTAACTGAGTAAAGCTGCTTACATATGCCACAGTAAACCGAGGGGGGTATGTGTATGCTTATAAAATGAATGAAAAGTGGGGAATAGAAAAAATGTAGCTGTGTGCAACAGCGGTCTTGGGTGTGCATACCTACATGTATTATAATGTTATACCATTAACAAATGTGATGTCCAGTATGCTTTAGTATGCATAAATACCTGTTGCCGTTACTGTTCGATGTGTGAACAAGCCTTCATAATTACACTCTTCAACAGTATAAGAGTATGAAAAATTACAAATGAAATCTTGATATTAACATCTTTCACCTGTGTTAACACTAAGTCTAAAGTGATTGAATAAATTGAAAGCGCAGGTTAACGGAAAATGAACTTGTCTTTTACAGGTTAACCTGGAATACAAGTTAGAAAAGCATCATTCTGAACACAGACCTGGGGAAGGCATTGTTGAGATGAACGCAGACATGGAGACAGGCCGGTTTGAGAGGCACCTAGAAGCAGAACTCCCTGGCCCGGCCATCATGACCTGTAGCTGACCTGGAGCCAGTGAGGTCATGAGGGAGTTATCCGCTACCAGGGACGACCCGTAGACCACCGCATCCTGGATGTTCTCCAAGGAGAGGTTGGATCCTCGAGGAATGTCTTCAGGGGATGCTCTGTACAGAACGATGGCATCTGACCCTTCCTGCATGATGTCATCAGGGATGGTGATATCAGGGCGAGGGGTCATACCGGTTGTACCAATCAGTAGGAAGCCATCTGCATTTGTGCTATTAATATGAATAGGTACAAAGAAAATGTTGTAACAGTTATCATGACCATACTAAAACAAACATAAAATAAAAATTTAAAGAATAAAAACAAACGTAGAAAATATTATTGTTCATATTAAATGCTTTATATATTGTTCTCAGCTTTGTCCATAGTCTACATACTCACTAGTTCTGAATTTCTAAGATTTTCACAATTGGGTGACTTATAAAAAGAATCTTTACCTTTATGGAATCAACAATTTTTACAGAAGAAAATGAAATGAGAACAACAAATTACTTAGTACTACCTATATTATTTGAAATATCATTGAAAACTATCTTCTGTACCTAGACATTATCTTCCGATGCAAATTGAATTCACAAAAAGAAACATTCATATAATGTTGCATAACTGATGTTAATTAAATTCCAGGCATAAACTGTTTTTAATGATTCACAGCAAACCACATCTCTTAATTTTCTGGATAAATACACCTTATGTTCGTATACAACATTGAGCATAGTTGTATTCATACATGGTGACAAACTGATTTATCATTCACACTAAAACTTAATCAGCTGTTATGCTTCATTTAAAACTAAACACATGTATAACTTGCAGGAATTATATAAGCTTTTATTTTCATCTTAATCTCTGTTCAATCCTCCAAACTGGCACTCATATAATTATACATTTTGGACATTACACACAGGCCTCTTCTTGCCAATCAACTAAGTATCCAACATGCAATTTGTTTCACTCACAATCTATTTGATAGATCAAGTTCATAATATGATCTATCATGATCACTGCCATCGAAGAAGACGAGTAAGAACCCGTTGAGTAATGTGAAGCCCACTCCATGATCATAGAGTTCAATGTACTTCCCATGATCCGCTGTATCTTCAGATGCATATATTTCATTGATAATGAGAGCTGAGGAAAAGAGAGGGTGAAACAAGTGAGTGGATCTTAATATTCAATCAGATGCACATTCTTAACACCCATGTAATCATTAATCACTCCACTTTGAAATAATTTGAAATAGTTAGCTATATATGTAATAAATCTTTTTGCATTTAGAGCATAAGTACACCAATAGAATACATTACGGTCATACCATTTTTTAAAATTTAAAGTCAGCAAGTCTGTTTTCCAACCTTTTAAAGTCTGCTGAACTAATTTCCCTATTATTGCAACAAGCAAATCTTCTCCATGATTCTTTTGACATTGTCAAAATACAAAAATATTTAATTTTCCTTTGCTTGTATTTTATTCATTTTACATATTTTACCAGCTGAGTTTTATGAGAAAATAATATTCTAATGTACTTACATCATACAAGTAGAATCATATAATCATTAAACATGAATTGATTTGTTTATTTTTATGTCAAAACTTCATATGGATACCCAAATAAAGTATTGAAGATGTAAGAAAAATTGTTACTTTGGATAAAACTGAATCAGCATGAACAGTATCAGCTTTTACTCTTACGTGACACCCTTTTATAATAATCCCTTTACATTTAGAATGACAACAACAATAGCATGGAAACCCATCAAACTTTAAGAGAAATTGCATCATATGTTCATCTATGAGAAGGGATATATGTTGTCAAATAGTACATACTGCTATCAAAGTCTACAAAAGCACTGCAGTTGTTGGCTCTTCCCATAGTTGGGACAGTCAGAGCATAAACTGTCGGGTCACATTTCTGAGAACCATGGCAACGGCTCAAACTTTCATCATTCTGCAAGTGAGTTCTGTCTTCTTTGATCGTGAAGTACCCTGGAATAAAACCAAAAGCATAAAAGATGAAACAAGGTATGTGTTTTGGTAATGTATAGGGATAGTAAATATACTTATATCTTTAACTGTGTTAACTAATCATAAACATTTTCTTCTTTTATTGCTTCTTGAGATAAAGAAGTAAATAGCCTGACATACCAACAAATCTATTGTTTGTATTGTAATATAAAGGTCTTTGTTTCCAATGCAGTTTTCAACTCCCTTGCTTCAGTTTTATTTTGTTCTACATTTCATACATTCCACTTCTCTTATTTTTCACTTTCACCATTTAACCATTACCCTCCTTTACCACTCCCCGTATCTTTCAAGAACCTTATCCCTCGAATCAAGTATCTTACATTTCCCATATTCTAATAATAGTAATATTTCTTCAATATTTATTATCAACAAAATAATAAAAACATATGGTTCTAATATTAATAGTTCGTCTCTATCTGTTTGAATATGCACTTCTCATCTTTAAAAATACCTTGCAACTGTTTTATCTATAGAATCAAATTCATCCAAAATATATTAAGGTATCCCTTTTCACTAAACAAACCTGTATATCCTATTGTGTAATATGCTACATAGCTTGTGATAAACTCTCAGTTTAAAAAAAAGAAAGAAAGAAAATCAATCAAACATTAGTAACAAAACACATAAGCTTGAGAAAAGAAAGGATAAACAAATTTCATACCTGGCACCAAAACATCGACAAGCCTCCTGCCTTTCTTGTTATTGGTGGCATACACAACAGCATCAATCAGACTAGCTCCTGTCACACTGGTACCAAATGGAAACGCACCAACATGGCCTCGGTAGAGGGCTATGGCATCTGGTCCATTCTGTAGAAAGCCTCTAGTAGCAGTGTGAACGAGCAAGTCAGCATCTAACCAAGTATGAGAGGACAGAAAGACAACAAAAAATATGAAAATAACAATATTGTGATGAAAAGGTGAAAGCGGAATATAAGGACCAATAGAAAGGAAAGTAGGAAGACAACCTCTGAGGCAAAATGAACTGAAGAAAGATGCCTTTACATAGAAAAAAAGAATGTGGATGTTTTGAAACTAAAGGTAATTGTGTGCACAAAGTACAATGTAAATTTGAGAAAGAGCGTCATATCAAATACTTTACCTAGCAGGCGTATTAAAATCTCAAAAGTCATTCTGGTTTCTGTCTGATTCATAAAAATATCAAGAGATAAATAAACTGTTTGGATTATCAAATACGCTATCAAGATATTACTTACTGCTTTCAATCTGATTTAAAAATCTAAAATAAAATTAAGAAAAGAAACCACTCATCATTTTGTAAATTTTAATTTTTTGAAAAAACCAATTGCTTTTCCCTCCAATTTGGGTAGATGCAAACTAAAATAATGTTTCACCGCTTAAATAATCATTTTACATGAAATGGCTTGGGTTTCAAATACTTTGCATATTGAGGTACCGGTACTAGTAATATAAAGTTATCTATAATTAAAAGTGAATAAGGAGTGAAACTTCTACAAAAAGATACATCAACAAACACAAACCCACTTTTGCCCATGAGATGTGAGCCAATCACAAAGAACCCATCAGAGTTAGTCTGATATCCATCCAGTCCCAGCGCCAAGTATGACCTGCCCCCATTATTGACTCCATTATACAGCACCAGGGTGGTGTAATTCAGCGAGACGTTGCCCTGACCTCCATCATAGAGTTCAATGAACTCCATGCCATCCATTCCAGGGAGGTCGACGTTGATCTCGTTGATGATGATGTCAGTGATGAAGGTAGGACAGAGATTGAGGCCATCGGGGGAGGGGTCACACATGAGGAACGGGGACATCATGAGGCGGTCAAGTGAGAAACAGCGACTGAGAGAGGAGGAGGCTTGCATCATGTCAGATGGTAGCTTTATCAGGAAAACAAGATAATGAAAGTCAAAATTAGTTTTTTTCTTTCTAAAAGCCCTACAGTGTTTTTGAGATACTATAGACATTACTTTCAAAGAACTAATTTTAATAATGCAGGAAATATGTAAGTACCATTCTGTACATGGTAGGTGTTGAAATGTAAATAATTTCAATTCATGTTTAAGTAAATGGAGTAACACATTGAAAAAGAAATTTGAGAAGAAGAACTCATGCAAAAATCTCCAAGCATTTAAAGTTGCTGGTAAATAAAGGATAAAATGAAATATACACCTTAAATCACCGAAATTGCCTTGATGACTCAATCAGCCTGTCTAACAATATAAAATGACTAGTACTACTTACAGGTAATGAGTTTGGTGTGAGGGTTTGACTAAGTCCTGTAGATGATCCATTGGTCCAGTCACTGTATACAATGGCATCCATTAATCCAGCTGTCACTGGTCGGGATCCAATTCCTAAACTCACACTCTCTGGAAGTCTGTAGAGAGCAATGGCACCATAGTCTGTCTTTAGGAATCCTGCATGATAAGATGGAAATATAAAAAGGAAAATGTAAGTGTAAATAAGTGAATCGTAAAACAATGGCATGTTTAATTCATTATTGTAAAATATTCTACCTTATAATCGAAACTGTTAAAGTCAACACATACACATCTAACACAATAACCATACATATAACCCTATACTTTCGCAAATAAAGGGCAATTTTGAAATGTTACAGTATATTCTTCCAAACATATCTTTTGTGGGATAATCTAGAGTTGCTTCAAGTTATGACATGGAATCACCAGGCTTTACCACAACTCTTTTATTCATTTTATATATCTTTTAAAGATATATGTCCCCGTTGAGAACTTCAAGCAAATAGATGCATACAATTAGAGCACCTCTTTATTAGAATCCGATGACTCTTACAATGTTTGAGGGGGTCGTGTGGGGGTACGACACATTCTGTATTAAAAACTTACCACTATTGAGTAGGTAGTGAGGGGTTGGAGACACCCCGCCCTCACCCATCACTATGTAACCGGCTTGGTTGGTCTGGTATCCCGTAAGAGGGATGCTGACATAAGACAAATCATCCTCACCATAAAGCACTACCACAAAGTCATCTGAAGATATGAGAGGAGAATTACATAAATATATAGTATAAATTAAATACAATCACCCCTAAAACATTTAGTAATAAAAGGAATTTAGGGTAACCCATCAAGCCAAAGTAGTTCTTGTGTGAAAATTCATAAGAAGATGACATGATCAAATATGGAAGAAGTAATAATCAAAGACTCATCTAATCAAATATTGATTTCTTGTGTTATGTTTTACAAGATGTAATAGAATGCTTTTATAATATTGTTTTTATTATTCATGTCACAACTCTGTATCATATTATATCATTTTAAATTGTTTTGAGTACCAAATAAAATATCATTTGAATTTTTTTAAAATTTTAATACTCATCTTTTTTCCAAATTACATACCCGGTAAGCACATAGCTGTTATGAGAGAACACACACTTACCAAGAACTGTGAAGCCATTTCCTAAATCCCAGATTTCAATGAACTGTTGGCCTTCCACCAGACTCGCTTCATTGATCACTAAAACAGTATCCTCCTGAGCAGGACACTTATTGACAGCCTTAGGTGAGACGTTTGCTTTCTGATAAACAACCGTTCCATTAGAGTGCCTGCATCGACTGATAGACATATCCATATCCTCTGTCGCGTTATCGAAGGCATAGTCCACTTTCTGGATCAGGTATTGTTCATTAGGGATGGTCCCTTTCATGTATATGTAGCGCTTGCCCTGGTAGATGGCTACGGCATCTGGTCCATCAAGCACCCAGCCTACTGGCTGACGGAAGCGGGGGACGTCCGGGCGAGGGACCGACAGGCTTCTGTAGCCAATCAGCAAGAGGCCGTTGGCATCCGTCTGGTAGCCGTTCAGAGTGAGGGAGCCGTGCACAGTCCCATTCTCTCCATCAATGCTTACCTGAAGCAATAGGTGGGGGATTAAGAACAGTAGAAATGTATAGAGATATCAACTGTTTTGAGAGGAATTGAAACAAAAATCTACCAAGAATTTTTACCTTATCCTTTTATTGAGTAAAGATTGGTTAAAACATCACAGAAAATCTGAGAAACTGTATGTTTGTCTTCGCTTGAAATATGACTGAAAGTTTTAATCATTTGGGAATCGCAGACAAAAAGCACTGTATGGTGTCCGCGCTCGCTCAAAGAAAATTTTAATACGTAAACCAATGGGAATTTGAGTACAATTGATTTACGTGGCCGTTACCCGGGGCAACGGATATCACTCATGATCTATTGACTATGTGTTCGTCTCTTTGCAAGAATATCCAAAATCATGACTGCAATTTCGACCAATCAGATGGCTAGATTTCTAAAGAGAGGTATATAATATGATATATCAATTAAAGAATCGTTGAAGAATTTATTATACAAATGCCATTTAAGTTGCTACAACTCTGGACCAATATCAGTTACTTTACATAATTGATAAGGTTTGTCTACTGAAGTTAAAGGTAATATTGTCTTATAAATGGTAAAAATAATAAGATTCTCCTTACCAAAGTTATATTATTGATGGGGAAATATGGTACGCCAAGGCTGGAAAGCTCTACATACTCTCCCAACTCAATAATGGGACTGTCTGTATTGATCTCATTAATCACTATCGGTATCTTGGGGCAGGAGTTGTCCATTGCCGGTGTGGGGGAGGAGGTCGCAAAGGCTAGTTGTACTTTGGGTTTGGGTGAATAACAGCGCTGTATAGAATTGACACCTGTATAGAAAAATATAATGAAATGGAGCAAAAAGGACATAAAAAGGAGATTGTGAATAAAATACAGATAAATATGAAATTTTTCAAAATTTAACAGTATTTAACAGGAAAAGTAGTGACAAAGCAAATATGAACAGAATATTGTTGATAAGAAATACTAATGAAGTATTGAAACATGATAAATTATTTTTGTTATCATTGCAATACCGGTTTTGGAAAATATAATTATAAAACAAAAATAAACAAAATGTATACTCAGTGTCGACTTACCAGCCAAGACTTGACTGTTGATTATTATAAGAGGTTGTGAGATATCTAAAGACCCCAATAATGTGAAATCATCTGTGCCATTGGTTCCAAATGTTACAGCATCAAGAACCCTGTCTAATGTAACTGACACAAGCTGTACATGACCTGCATCACTCTGAAGAAGAAAACAATATTATAAAATAAATACATCTGTAATAGAAACTACTATCATAAAACTTACACAGATAAAAGCTTGTCCACAAGAATAATTTATCTGCACCTCCTTTTTACAACTTACATTTGTCAATCATTATTGTACACCTTGGAATAACCAGCAATCCAAACTAATCCTCAAATTAATAGAAAGCATTTTCACAATTCTGTCTTGTTTAAATACAATACAAAACATTGCTTAAAATCTCTTAGAATCCTTAACAAATTTATCTAAAAATACTACCAACAGGAGGCAATAAAAGTTTCCAGTTTAGTCAAGCAGTTACTGTAAAAGGGTTGACTGAAGTATAAAGTGCCTAATAAATGTTGTGTATTATTATTATTATAAATGACAATGACACCTTTAAAATGCTTACTCCCTACAGCTCATTCACCCTCTCAGCCACTATGAAAGAGTCTTACCTGAACCATAAGAGGTGATGTGTGATCAAAACTTTGCTCCTCCATGCTACTAGAAGTGGTTTGATTGACGATGATGATTGGTAGAACATCAGGAGATGGGGACTGAATGATGAAGTATCCAGCGGGATTGGTTTGGTGGTTATCCAGGTTGAATCGCAGATAATAGCTACTTGTAAAATAGGGAAAACGAAAATAAGAAGGTTCCTTTTAATAGTGGTAATATTGTTTTAAACTTCCATCTTTTGAAAAAGAAAAACAACATAGACATTATATTCTACTTATTCTATATACCTCATACATATTGTTATTTGTATACAATTGTTGTTCTATTCAAATAATATCAATACTGATTGTTTATTTCAACCATATGCTTGAAAAGAATAGTGGATACTTGAAGATGAATTGAAGATGAATTTATTATCAAGATTTAGCAATGAATTCCTCTTAAAACAAATAATCCAGTTTCCAACTTTTGCTTTGTCCGTCTGTTCACAATCTGAAACATCATCAATACTTCCAAACATCATCTCACCTTTCACCATTGGAGTTGACAGTGTACCAATCAACCAGGACATTGGACAGAGCTACTCCACCAAGTCCACCATCGTAGATCTCTATGAAGCCACCACCGGTAGCGCCGCTGTCAAACTTGACCTCACTGATCCTCAGCTGTTTGTGGTACATCCTGACGGTCTCTGTGAACGTCCTATTGTCTTGGAAGCAGTCGATGTTAATAGAGCCAGGACTCACTGGAGCGAGACCAAAGGAGGAATGGTTCCGCTGAAGGCAGCAGTAGCATCTGCTGATGGACTGGTCCACGGATGAGGGTGTGGTCGAGGGCAGCTCATTGAGATGATGCTGATTGGGCATCAAGAGGTGAAGCAGATTCAGGTCTGGCCTGTCATCTAATGAAGATGAGAACTTATCAGTTAGTATGTGTTCATGAGAACATATGCTAGGGTGCCAGGGAGACTACTTTGACGTTGAGAATGAATTAAAGCATATATTTAGATCGAGGATACATCCATGACCATCTCTATAACAGCCCAACTGAGCTCCTCAGTATAAATGTGTATGTGCCATATCTACCATGTCAGTACTGTCCCCAACAAGAAAAGTGAAAGGGGAAGGAAGTAAGGCAATGAACTCATGAGATAAAGAAAGAAAGAAAGATGAGGGGATAGACATACCAATGGACAGAGAGAGACAGGGGGGATTGAGAATGAACATTAAGTTATTGAACATTGTATTTATTTAAAAAATACCTCACCTGTTCCATACACAACAGCATCTACCAGATTGAGGTCAGAGGCCTGCCTGCCTCTGTAGAACTTGACAGGGCCAACATGGATTGCAACAGCATCGGGTCCAGCCTCCAAGAAAGATCCGTCTATTGTATCTGCAACGTAGTCTACATTGGTTCCAGTACTTGGTCCTATTACCAGAAACCCTGCCTCATCTGTGGAGTATCCAGTCAAATCCATGACCCTGACGGCACTGTTGTCAATGCCATCATAAAGCGCTAGCACCAGACCATCCAAAGCCTGTGAGCCTAGACCACCATCATAAATCTCTATAAATTGGTTAGTCCCATTTGCAAGGACATTGATTTCATTGATTACAATAGGAGGGGGTGTGCAAAGATTGATCGCCTTTGGAGTCACATCACCTAAAGAAAAGCTCTTCTGCATGAAGCGATCCCATCCTTTACACCGACTCCATGATAGGTTGGTGGTACCTAGTGAAAGTGGCTCCTGACCTGGTGTGAGGATATCTATCAGATCTTGATCCTGAGGCACTGTTACCTCACCAAACAAAACAACATCAAGGAGAGCATCCTTTGAAATAGGAGAACCAGCTATTAATATCCTGGATAGTTCAGCAAGGTGAATGGCAATGGCATTGCAACCTTCCATCGGAGGCAGGTTTGGAATCACAAAGTCTGGAGCAGGTTCCATATCTGCACTGCCAATCAAGAACAAGCCATTCTCATTAGTAAAGTGGCCATTCAGTACAAGAGGTTCTCTGAACACTGCAAGACTGCTTCCACTGTACACCACAATGAGTATGTTGCCCAATGCCACATTTCCAAGGCCACCATCAAAGAGTTCAATGAAGGGTTGAGACTGGACCACTCTGAATTCGTTGATCACAATGTAAGGAAGCGCTACGGGATTGATTGGAGGAAAGCTGGGAAGAACTTGAGGTGGCATTCTAGGCTCTAATCGTGAGCAATCATTGGCTGTTCCAGGTGTGAGATGAGCCAGACTGAACTGTGATGCATCAAGGCGATCGCTACCAGAACAACGACTGATCGACTCATCTTCAGACAGATGGGCAGAATCTTCATGGATAGTCACTTGTCCCGGTGTGAGAACATTCAATAATTCTTGATCATGTCTTCCTCTTTTATCATAGACAACTGCATCAACAAGTAATATGTTGGTGACATTGCTACCAGCTGATAAGTGACTGTTGTTTCCATAGTACAAAGCAACTGCAGCTACACCATTTTGCAATATGTTCACATCGAGAGCATGTCCTACCACTTTCTGAGGCCTTGGTACCACATTGTATGAACCAATCACAAAATATCCTAAAGGATTAATTGAGTCATTTGTTAGGGCAAGAACAGCATACATTCTATCAGTTGCACCGCTATACAACACCAGGGTATACTCATCCAGTGATACTGAAATATTAGCTTTATTGTGCAGTTCCACATATTCTGTAGTATCTTCTCCTTGATTAAGAGCATTTAATTCATTTATGATGATTGGTGAGGAAACCACTCTATTTTCACAGTCGTTCTTCAGTTTAGGAGTAACAGTAGCAAACCAGTAGTCACTGTCATTGCCATTTACACATCTATTAATTGATAAGTTCCTCCTAGGAAGATACAGTTGGTCTTGGATGACAACCTTTGACACATTCAGGTTCTCTAGCAATGCCGAATCACTAGATGATGCTGAAGTCGAAAACACAAGGGCATCTTCTAGAAACCTTGTCGTTGGCTCCATTCCTATTTGTACAGTTCCTATCTCTCCATCATACAATGCAACTGCTCCAATCTTACCATCTCCAAAGGTAGCATCTAACCACTCCAAATCAATATCCTGAACAAGTTCACTTGAACCAACAGTATAATAACCTTCTGCTGGTAATACAACTTCCGGAAGTCTTTTCACCGAGTTTGCCCATGATGAATTGAATATCACAAGAGAAAAGTTGGATATTGTGAAGTTGCTGTTGCCGTTATTGTAGAGTTCTACGTACATTTGAGTGTTGTTAGATCCATGGCTCAACCAAATCTCATTGATGACAATGTCACACTGACATACTGATACCAAAGTCAGTACAAGACTCCATAAGGCATACATGGAGTGCCGTGTTTGTGGATCCTGAATGTGTGTCAAAATCTTCATCTTGGAGTGTTGTCAGATAGCCTTCATCAAGCTGGAAAAACAAAAGGATATGAAGAGGATAAATTCTAACTCTAAGCATGCTCTTTAGAATTGAAGATAAGATAAATGATATTCAAGAGGCGAAAGAAGCCTGTAGCTTCAGTTTGATAGTTTCACATGTAAATATAGACAATATGTTACATTTTCAATCTGTAGTGTACACACCCCAAATGCAGTGATGCACACAGTGCAGTCTTGTATGTTTATGGCTGTACGTAAATTTGAAGAGGAAATTTCCCCAAATATTTATACATGCTTTCCATTCAACTCTTCATGAGAGAAATTTAGTTTTTTGAAAAGTCATTATTCGCTTTGATAATGCAAACAAATTTTGTAAGAATTTTTGGACAGGTACATTAAAATATTCACTGCAACACATGAGAGTAGCTAACTTTAGATTTTAAAAAGAAAAATAATTAAAAAAAATAATTAAAATAGCTATAACTTTCACAATCCATGATTATTTCACAAAATAAGGCTGCAAAAGCATTTAGCTTGAAAAATAAATCTGATTTACTCATATAATAATAATAATAATAATACAGAGTATTTGTACTGCGCCAACTCCACATGAATAATGTGTTCGAGGCGCATGAAGAAGAAAAGATATAAGTACACAAGAAAATACACACAAAAATGAACGACGACAATGTGAAAATAAAACTAAATCTACTGAAAAGCTGCTTTGAACAAATGAGTTTTAAGGGCATGTTTAAAGCAATCTACACTTGAAATATAACGAATATGTTGTGGCAATTGGTTCCATAGGTAAGGTCCAGCATGTGCAAATGACCGATCCCCCCATGATTTCTTAGTTTTCGGAACAACAAGCAATTGAGAATCGGAAGATCTTAAGCGTCTGGGAGGATTATAAGACATTAACAAATTAATATTGTACTCTGGGGCAGATCCATGTATACAGTGAAAAACAAGCAATAATAATTTAAATATAATACGGGATTCAACAGGTAACCAATGTAGTGAAGACAAAACAGGAGTAATGTGAGAAGTACGTCTGGTAAGGGTAACAATACGGGCTGCTGAATTTTGTAATTTTTGTAACCGTGAGAGTTGAGATTGTGGCAGCTGAAACAAAAGTGCATTAACAAAGTCAAGTCGAGACGATATGAGGGCATGAACTATTTTTTCTGTGGCCGAGCGGGTTAAATACTTGCGAATAATGCCTAAATTACGTAGTTGATACCTGACAGATTTACAAACAGCCGGGATCTGAACTGACATGGACATCGTAGAATCAAATAAAACTCCAAGATTTCTACATGATTTAGATGGAGTGATAACATCATCATCAACCCTAATAGAGGGAAGGCTCACCCTGTCTAATAAAGTTTTAGAACCCATAAACAACAGCTCTGATTTCTCTTGATTTAATTTCAAGGAATTAGAGCTCATCCATTTCTTGATATCATGAACACAAGCTTCAAGTTTTGTGATGGTATCAATGACATTGGTTTGGTTAGGTAGGAATGATGTATACAGTTGGATATCGTCTGCATAACAATGGTAATTAAAAGAGTGACATTGTAAAATCTGTTTTAGACCACTTAAGTAAATTGAGAAAAGTGTTGGGCCTCCAACAGATCCTTGCGGAACACCACTAACCAACGCAGCAGGATCAGACTTTGAATCATTAACACAAACAATTTGAGACCTTTCACATAAGTATGACTTAAACCATTTAAGAGCTTTTCCATCTACACCAAGTGATTTCAAAGTATCTAACATAATTATATGATTGACAGTATCAAATGCGGAAGATAGATCAAGTAGTAACAGAACAGTAATTCTCCCATCATCCATGTCCCTTAAGACATCATTTGATAGGTTGACGAGCAAAGTAATGGATGCAAGTATAAAATGAATATTCAAAGCCAAGAAAAATTACACGAAATACAGAATATATCTAAAGGAAAAGACAATAAAATAATAATGAGATAATCAAATAACTGTTTGCCAAATAGCATGCCTCATTAGGCCATCTGAATTCAGAAGATGTGTATCATAAAATGATTTATTATTGCATGGCTACTACTTCAAACATCTCTTCCCTCAAGCTCTGAGACACAACCAAATGACATCCTATCATCCAAACTCTTTTTCATCAATATATGATTGTGATATAAATTCTTACAAGATTACTCAAATGATTCTAATAAATTAATGCTATACAGTAAAGTATCACATATATAATTGGGAGACACCATACGATGCCCTTGCCTTTATAAAAACAAGGTGCATTGTATGTAGTAGGCCACAGTTACAACAATAACAGTCACTCTTTGTGAAAGGGCATGGACCCACATTTTTAATTGAATCACAGAGTACACATTTACACCTCCTTTGTATAAACCAATGGCAATCTACTGGACAAAATAAACTCTGTTCATAGTCATATTCCTTTCTGTATGAAACAAAGTATGTGATTATTTGGATTAATCAATGGATTGGATTTGAATTTGAAAAGTGATGATGATCCATCTTCAGATGGGGAGGGGGGAGGGGGGAGGGGAGGAGGGGGGGGGGAGGGGGGGAGACACATAATTAATCTTAAGTAAATATGAATGGGGGGGGGGTTGACACATCAATCTAAAATTATAAAGTAAATATGAATTGGGGGGGGGGGGCATACATTTAAAGGAAAACTTATACAGGAATCAACTGCATGACACTATATAGCCTAGTGCAGATAATCCCAGTATATACTCCTCAGGATGTACATGTATGCCTGTAGCGTCTTCAATGCAGGCCACTGTATGATTAATACTGATGTTGTTAATTGTCACTTCAACTTGTCCTTCAAGGTTTCATACTGCTGGAGCATAGACTTGATCACCAATAACAGCGGGAGTAGAAAATCAATACCTCATTATCCATCCATTCCAACTAACCCAGATCATCATCTACCGAGACTGAGACAGTCAGGAGGGCTTTCAGTTAACTTGATATAGATTTATGTCTATGATAGTGAGTTAAAACCTTTCTGCCTCTCGTGTCTCAGCAGACTCATCTTAAACCTGAGATCAGGCAGATACAATTTCTTCCATGAAAAAAACAAAAACAATTATTTATTGATACCGAGTTAGTGAGTAAAATTAACAATCCCTCAAAAGCAGGAGAACTCTTCATCAATAGTGATAGTTACATAGATCTACATGTAATTAAATTAATAATAATGAATATAATAACTAGGGAGTAAGGTATCTATCATCAACATCTAGAATCTCCTTTAACAAAAGAAAGGGAATGAGAGCAGATTTCCCTTCCCATACTCCAGGCCCAACAGGCAACAGGCTCCGGATAGCATATAAACTACATGTAGATCCACATATGATCTAGATTTAGAAGATGTTGATCGAACTACTCGTATCGGAGAAACGCCTCCTTGCCTTGCACACGGCTCGTATTTACATTCAGATTCACCTTTCTAAAGAAATCATGAACCTGTTTAACAACATGGTAGACCAACTTTATCATAATTTCTGTAAATATGGTGCATTGAAACTGTTATAAAACTCATGCAAATGCTGCTATCACAATACTTACACAGTTTGCCCCGTCAGGTCAGAGATGTATGTCAACGATGTTTCAAAGAGAACGACTCACAAGCATGACAAGCCAATCCAGAAATTAGGGTCAGGCACCGTGTAGTACGAGCGATGGCGATAAGGAGATGAATACTTGGAAAACGGTAGTCGTAGCAAAACAACACACAGGATCTAGGGAAACTTGAGAGAGTGCTAGCGCGAGATGGATGATTTACAGCTGTTCTCTCTATACGCTTTTGATTGGTGTATGTTGACAATAGATGCTCCGCCCATCGGCTTACCTATATACTATCAACCAGTCAGGAGCTGGTTGATTAGATTATATCGGTAAACAAAAACAAAATTATAAGAAAACAAAAATAAAAATGTAAGAAAGATGCGATGCGCGAAGACTTGGTTGTAGCCTATAAAATTCTCACTTGAATTTTTTATGGAATTTTTTCGCTCTCTCTCTAGGGGTCTTCGAGCTATGTGCTAGAATAGGCACGTGGTGGTGGTGGGGTGGTGATCTGGGTGAAGCTTTTCTTCACACACCTAATCGGAGATGAAGGTAGCCCATCCAATGTGTAAAAATTGCCAATTTGATAAGTGTAAGGATCGCATTGTACACATACAACCGCTATACTACACACACGCAATATATTCTTTGTGTATTGTATCCGCCAGGCATGATCAGTGCAACGATGGCTGGCTACCAATTAAAATAGGCATGGTGATCGGATATAATGAGAGTAGATGATGGAGGGGGGGGGGGGGGGGGGTAAAGCGCAGTACTTAGGGGCAAATCAAAGAATTATACTAAGACCTCACCTCATGTATGTTAGAAATTAAAAAGTTATTATCTTCTTTTGAATTGCAATATATCCCCGCACCATAATTATAAGTCATGCATGAATGTTATTTGTCATATGATTTGAAAGGTGGTACACGCAGAAACTATTCACCATTATGTCACTGTCATGTACATATTTTCTATGGATATAATTTTTCACGATCTCAACTCTTTACCACATCAGCGTCATGATGGATAAAGTGGAATATTTATTCTTCACCACCCTATACGCTAACTTTTCACCACCCTAGCGTCATATACATTATCTATGGATAACCTGGAGTATTCTTCACCACCCTACGCTAACTTTTCACCACCCTAGCGCCATGTACAGTGTCTATGGATAAACTGGAATATTAATTCTTCACCACCCTACGCTAACTTTTCACCACCCAAGCGTCATGTAACATTGTCTATGGATAAACTGGAATATTAACTCTTCACCACCCTACGCTAACTTTTCACCACCCTAGCGTCATGTACATTGTCTATGGATAAATGGTAATATTAACTCTTCACCACCCTACGCTAACTTTTCACCACCCTAGCGCCATGTACATTATCTATGGATAAACTGGAATATTAATTTTTCACCACCCTACGCTAACTTTTCACCACCCTAGCGTCATGTACATTGTCTATGGATAAAGTGGAATATTAACTCTTCACCACCCTAGGCTAACTTTTCACCACCCTAGCGTCATGTACATCGTCTATGGATAAACTGGAATATTAACTCTTCACCACCCTACGCTAACTTTTCACCACCCTATAGCGCCATGTACATTGTCTATTAACTGCACTATTAATTTTTCACCACCCTACGCTAACTTTTCACCACCCTATAGCGCAATGTACATTGTCTAAGGATAAAATGGAATAATCATTAACTCTTCACCACCCTACGCTAACTTTTCACCACCCCACAGCGCCATGTACATTGTCTATGGATAAACTGGAATATTAATTCTTCGCCACCCTACGCTAACTTTTCACCACCCAAGCGTCATGTAACATTGTCTATGGATAAACTGGAATATTAACTCTTCACCACCCTACGCTAACTTTTCACCACCCTAGCGTCATGTACATTGTCTATGGATAAATGGTAATATTAACTCTTCACCACCCTACGCTAACTTTTCACCACCCTATAGCGCCATGTACATTGTCTATGGATAAACTGCACTATTAATTTTTCACCACCCTACGCTACCTTTTCACCACCCTATAGCGCAATGTACATTGTCTAAGGATAAAATGGAATAATCATTAACTCTTCACCACCCTACGCTAACTTTTCACCACCCTACAGCGCCATGTACATTGTCTATGGATAAACTGGAATATTAATTCTTCACCACCCTACGCTAACTTTTCACCACCCAAGCGTCATGTAACATTGTCTATGGATAAACTGGAATATTAACTCTTCACCACCCTACGCTAACTTTTCACCACCCTACCGTCATGTACATTGTCTATGGATAAACTGGAATATTAACTCTTCACCACCCTACGCTAACTTTTCACCACCCTAGCGTCATGTATACATTGTCTATGGATAAATGGTAATATTAACTCTTCACCACCCTACGCTAACTTTTCACCACCCTAGCGCCATGTACATTATCTATGGATAAACTGGAATATTAATTTTCACCACCCTACGCTAACTTTTCACCACCCTAGCGTCATGTACATTGTCTATGGATAAAGTGGAATATTAACTCTTCACCACCCTAGGCTAACTTTTCACCACCATAGCGTCGTACATCGTCTATGGATAAACTGGAATATTAACTCTTCACCACCCTACGCTAACTTTTCACCACCCTATAGCGCCATGTACATTGTCTATGGATAAACTGCACTATTAATTTTTCACCACCCTACGCTAACTTTTCAATGTACATTGTACATTGTCTAAGGATAAAATGGAATAATCATTAACTCTTCACCACCCTACGCTAACTTTTCACCACCCTACAGCGCCATGTACATTGTCTATGGATAAACTGCACTATTAATTCTTCACCACCCTACGCTAACTTTTCACCACCCTAGCGTCATGTACATTGTCTATGGATAAACTGGAATATTAACTCTTCACCACCCTACGCTAACTTTTCACCACCCTAGCGCCATGTAGGCCTACATTGTCTATGGATAAATGGTAATATTAACTCTTCACCACCCTACGCTAACTTTTCACCACCCTAGCGCCATGTACATTATCTATGGATAAACTGCACTATTAATTTTCACCACCCTACGCTAACTTTTCACCACCCTAGCGTCATGTACATTGTCTATGGATAAAGTGGAATATTAACTCTTCACCACCCTACGCTAACTTTTCACCACCCTAGCGTCATGTACATTGTCTATGGATAAACTGGAATATTAACTCTTCACCACCCTACGCTAACTTTGCACCACCCTATAGCGCCATGTACATTGTCTATGGATAAACTGCACTATTAATTTTTCACCACCCTACGCTAACTTTTCACCACGCTATAGCGCAATGTACATTGTCTAAGGATAAAATGGAATAATTATTAACTCTTCACCACCCTACGCTAACTTTTCACCACCCTACAGCGCCATGTACATTGTCTATGGATAAACTGCACTATTAATTTTTCACCACCCTACGCAAACTTTTCACCACCCTAGCGCCATGTACATTGTCTATGGATAAACTGGAATATTAATTTTTCACCACCCTACGCTAACTTTTCACCACCCTAGCGTCATGTACATTGTCTATGGATAAATTAACTCTTCACCACCCTACGCTAACTTTTCACCACCCTACAGCGCCATGTACATTGTCTATGGATAAACTGCACTATTAATTTTTCACCACCCTACGCTAACTTTTCACCACGCTATAGCGCAATGTACATTGTCTAAGGATAAAATGGAATAATTATTAACTCTTCACCACCCTACGCTAACTTTTCACCACCCTATAGCGCCATGTACATTGTCTATAAACTGGAATATTAACTCTTTACCGTGTTAGTTTGTGTTAGTTATGCCTATGCCTTCACGGTGACCATATGGTAGGAATACTCCCCAGCAGAGGCCGCCCTCCTGGGGGGGGGGGGGGGGGGGGGAGTAGGGGCACAGTGCCCCCCCCCCCCACTTTTTCAAGCACCCGAAAAGTGCCCCTTTTTACATAGGAATAGTGCTCCTATTACTCTGATAAGTGCCCCTTTTATTTTGACACGTGCCCCTTTTCCTTCGACAAGTTCCCATTTTCCATTACAATAAGTGTCCATTTTCCATTCTCGTAAGTGCCCTCTTTAATCTCTAGTACTAGGGTAGGTGTGGGGAATTGGAGACCCTTAAGCACATTTTCATAATTTACATAAACATGAAAAATGTTACACATACAGAAAGTTTTGTTTTCTCTTTAGTAACTTCTTCTCTTTATTGGGAAACGAAATTGTGGTCATGATGTAACTGATTAATAAGATAAAAATAATTTATGACGTCATCACCAAAGGTCTCTCATTACCAACATGCGTAGGTAATAAGGAACAGTTACAAATCAAAACATCAAGACAAAAATGGGATTGTTATAGTTAGTTCAAACACTTTTTGAAACAAAAAAATACATGCAGCCAATGAACTTACTGTAATTTTGAAACGATTTTGAAAGAAGAAATTAATCCCATGTTATCCGCTTGTTATGCTTTATAATTCATTGATATTACAGTATATAACATATTGCAATTTAGTATGGGCAACCAGCGCCAAAATCAAAATCAACTCTATTTATTTATTGCAAAAGAAAGCCCTTCGTATTATGTACTGGTTCACCATTATTTATCTCACACAAGTCCAATATTTTACAAACTGAAAACCCTTACAGTATTCGACATAATTTCGCTACAATGTTTACTGATCATGTTTAAGTATTTAAAAAATATGCTCCCTCTTTCATTTCAAAACTTTTACACTATGATTAAAGCTATTCACTCTTACCCTACTCGTAATTCCTCAAATTTTCATCTAGTATACCCGAAATAAATCCATAAGACACCATGGTCCTGACCTATGGAACTTTCTCCCAGAATCTATTAAATCATGTTGCTCCCTCTCAGGGCCGTAGCCAGAGTTTGATGTTTAGGGGGGGGGGGGGGACACATACATGTAATTGATCGACGTTCTGGGGAGGGGTCTAAACAATTTCAATTTGGGGGGGGGGGCACGTGCCCCCCCCCCCCCCCGTGGCTACGGGCCTGCTCACTCTGCTCATTTAAGGCCAAAGTTAAAACGATGTTATTATCAGAATACTCAAGGTAGAATTTCTGTGTCAACT